AAGTGATTCTTCTGCCTCAGCCTCCCTAGTAGCTGGGACTACAGGCATGCGCCACTACGCCCAGCTAATTTTGTATTTTTAGTAGAGACAGGGTTTCTCCATGTTGGTCAGGCTAGTCTCAAATTCCTGACCTCAGGTGATTTGCCTGCCTTGGCCCCCCAAACTGCTGGGATTACAGGCATCAGCTACCTTTATAATATAGGTTAGATTTGTAAAGTATGTTTATCTAAGCATAGTAAGTTTAACAATTTTTTGTTTTTATTTCTTTCAGCTATGTGTTCTTATTTTCCCAAATACCTTTGGCCAGAGCAAGACATAAAAGATTCTTTTCAACAAGTGATACTGAGAAGATATGGAAAATGTGGACCTGAGAATTTACAGTTAAGAAAAGGCTCTGCAAGTGTGGTGGATGAGTGTAAGGTGCACAAAGTTTATAATGGACTCAACCAGTGTTTGACAACTACACAGAGCAAAATATTTCAATGTGATCAATATGTGAAAGTCTTTCATAAATTTTTAAATTCAAATAGACATAATATAATACAGACTAGAAAGAAACCTTTCAAATGTGAAAAATGTGACAAATCATTTTGCATGCTTTTACACCTAAGTCAACATCAAAGAGTTCATACTGGGGAGAATTTTTACCAATGTGAAGAACATGGGAAAGCCTCCAAGTGGTTCTCAACCATTACTAGACGCAAGAGAATTCATATTGGAGAGAAACCCTTCAAATGCAAAGAATGTGGCAAAGCTTTTAAGCATTCCTCAACCCTTATTACACATAAAAGAATTCATACTGGAGAGAAACCCTACAAATGTAAAGAATGTGGCAAAGCCTTTAATGAGCCTTCAAACCTTACTACACATAAGTTGATTCATACCGGAGAGAAACCCTACAAATGTGAAGAATGTGGCAAAGCCTTTAACCAGTCCCCACTACTTACTGCACACAGGATAATTCATAGTGGAGAGAAACCTTACAAATGTGAAGAATGTGGCAAAGGCTTTAACTGGTCCTCAACCCTTACTAAACATAAAAGAATTCATACTGGAGAGAAACCCTACAAATGTGAAGAATGTGGCAAAGCCTTTAATGAGTCTTCAAACCTTACTACACATAAGATGATTCATACCGGAGAGAAACCTTACAAATGTGAAGAGTGTGGCAAAGCTTTTAATCGGTCCTCAATCCTTACTACACATAAGAGAATTCACACTGGAGAGAAACCCTACAAATGTGAAGACTGTGGCAAAGCTTTTAATCGATCCTCAAACCTTACTAAACATAAGATAATTCATACTGGAGAGAAACCTTACAAATGTGAAGAATGTGGCAAAGCTTTTAATCGGTCCTCAATCCTTACTACACATAAGANTAAACATAAGATAATTCATACTGGAGAGAAACCTTACAAATGTGAAGAATGTGGCAAAGCTTTTAATCGGTCCTCAATCCTTACTACACATAAGAAAATTCACACTCAAGGGAAATCCTACAAATGTGAAGACTGTGGCAAAGCTTTTAACCGGTCCTCAAACCTTACTAAACATAAGATAATTCATACTGGAGAGAAACCTTACAAATGTGAAGAATGTGGGAAAGCTTTTAATCGGTCCTCAATCCTTACTACACACAAGAAAATTCACACTCGAGGGAAACCCTACAAATGTGAAGAATGTGGCAAAGCTTTTAACCGGTCCTCAAACCTTACTAAACATAAGATAATTCACACTGGAGAGAAACCTTACAAATGTGAAGACTGTGGCAAAGCTTTTAATCGGTCCTCAACTCTTAATAAACATAAGATAATTCATACTGGAGAGAAACCTTACAAATGTGAAGACTGTGGTAAAGCCTTTAACCAATCCTCAACTCTTACTAAACACAGGAAAATTCATACTGGAAAGAAACCTTACAACAATCAAGAATGTGGCAGTGCTTTTAGTCCTTGAACCTTATTAAACAAATAATTCATACTGGAGAGAAACCTTACAAATGTGAAGAATGTGGCAAAGCTTTTAACCAGTTCTCAAGTCTTACTAAGTATTAAATTCATACTGTACAGAAATCCTACAAGTGTGAAAAATATGGCAAAGCCTTTAATAAGCCCTCAATTCTTAACAGAAATGAAATAATTTATACTGAAAAGAAACTCTACAAACCAGAAATATTTGACAGTGCTTTTCACAGCACCTCAAACTTTTCTCTTTTTTTTTTTTTTGAGACGGAGTTTCACTCATGTTACCCAGGCTGGAGTGCAATGGCGCCGTCTCGGCTCACCGCAACCTCCGCCTCCTGGGTTCAAGCAGTTCTCCTGCCTCAGCCTCCCGAGTAGCTGGGACTACAGGCGCGCCACCATGCCCAGCTAATTTTTGTATTTTTAGTAGAGACGGGGTTTCACCTTGTTGACCAGGATGGTCTCGATCTCTTGACCTCGTGTTCTACTCGCCTCTGCCCCTCAAAGTGCTGGGATTACAGGCGTGAGCCACTGCGCCCAGCAAAGTTTTCTAATCAGAAAAGAAATTATCATGGTGAGAAGTCCTAGAAATCTGAAGAATGAGACAAGGCCTTTAAATAGTTGTCATACTTGATTTAGGTAAGATAATTTATACTAGATAAAAGGCCTACACGTGTGAACAATGTGGGAAAACTTGTAACCAATGCTCACACTTTATTGTACAGGAAAGAATTTATACTTGAGATAAATTATATAAAGACTGAAAAATCCATTTTCATATCTTACTCATGTCTTACTTGCTCACATCTCATACCACATGCTTACATCTTAACACCAGAGAATTCATACTTAATAAAAGCATTATAAGTGCAATTTCTGTCAAGATTTTTCAGAAAATACAAGCTTTTATAGTGAAAAGTGTTTATTTTGAAGATGAAATTACAAATGTAAAGAGAGTTATACTGCTTTACTTGTATCACAGATCTTATTACAGACATTTTGTTCTAGAGGCAAACTCAAGTAGTTGCTCAAACTTTGTTCTGCATCAGGGGATTTCTATTGAAGAAAAGTTGTGCAGATTTAATAAATTTGGAAAAACACTTTTTCAAAACCTACATCTTAGAAAATAACAGTTTATACTAGAAGATATTTCTGCAGATGCAGTAAAAGTTAAAAAAATATATATATATAATTAGGTCTATGTAAATATCAGCGTATTTATGGTAGAAATATATAAGGCACTGACACATCAGATATCCTAAATCAGAGTGCTGAGTACAGAAAATCTAAAACTAAAGTTGGTAGAAAAATTCTTTGCATATAACTTTAAGAGAATCAGAAGGTTTTTTTACAGTTCTTATTACATTGAAAGTATATTTCTTAAAAAATATTACAGATTTTTTGAGAAGTGGATAATGTCATTCAATCCTCAAATTGTTTCCTGTTTCTTCATTTCTATTGGATTCACACGTGAAAGCACGCGATCAATTGTTGCTGCATCAAAGATAGGAGAGATTCTTTTTTGTTTTGTTTTTTTCTTTTGAGAGGGAGTTTTACTCTTTCGCCCAGGCTGGAGTGCAGTGGCGCAATCTCGGTTCACTGCATCCTCTGCCTCTGGGTTCAAGCGGTTCTCTTGCCTCAGCCTCTGAGTCTCTGGGATTACAGATCTGCACCATGACACCCAGCTAATTTTTGTATTTTTAGTAGAGATGGGGTTTCACTATGTTGGCCAGATTGGTCTTGAACTCCTGACCTCGTAATCCACCCACCTCGGCCTCCCAGAGTGCTGGAATTACAGGTGTGAGCCACTGCATCTGGCATTTTTTTTTTTTTTTAAAGACAGAGTCTTGCTGGAGTGCAATGGCACGACTCGGCTCACTGCAACCTCCACCCCCTGGATTCAGGCAATTTTCCTGTCTCAGCCTCCCAAGTAGCTGGGATATTCCTGTCTCAGCCACCCAAGTAGCTGGGATTACAGGCACCTGCCACCACACCCAGCTAATTTTTGTATTTTTAATAGAGATGTGGTTTTACCATGTTGGTCAAGCTGGTCTCAAACTCCTGACCTTGTTGTCCACCCACCTGGGCCTCTAGACAAGAAATTCTTTTTTATTAGGTGGGTATTATTTATGATCTTTTCTATAGAAAAGTAAAGACATTAAAATGTAAAATGGACATTGAAAATCTGAGTGGAGAGGCTCTTAAAGGTTAACATAATATTGAGTGATGCGTGATGTAGATGTTTAGAGTAATATTCTGCATTGTCATATGAGGACAACATGTTTAAATTAGTATGTTAACTACTTTTATATAATGAAATGCAGTACATTAAAAAATTCTAGATTAATAAAGTTAATACTTTAATTCAACATTTTTACATGTTAAATACTATCGTGCATTCAATGAAGCGTTATTATGCCACAAACTTGAACCTCTTCCACCTTATCCAAGGGTATAGGTAAAAGATCATAACAATATACATAATGGATTAATGTCTCTAGTAATTATTTTTGCCAGTGGCTTTCAACTGCAAATAAGTTAAAGAATATTATTTCTGTAGGTTAAATTTTTTTCTTTTTTTTTTTTTTAAGATGGGATTTCACCATGTTGGTCAGGCTGGTCTTGAACTCCCGACCTCAGGTGATCTGCCTGCCTTGGCCTCCAAAGTGCTTGGATTACAGGCGTGAGCCACCACGCCTGGCCAGGTTAAATTTTTATTGTTTTTAATCATTTAAACTTATTTTAATTCTGGTGGGTACATAATATGATTATATATTTATGCAATATATGGCTTATTTTAATAAAGGAATAGAATATGTAATAATATCAGCATTAAGTGAGGCATCCTTCAGTGCTAGCATTTATCCTTTGTTTTACAAACAATCCAATTCTACACTTAAAAACAATTTTTACATGTAAAATTTTTATTTACTACAGGGTTATTTTTATGGTCATAATAAAAATTATAGACAAGTATAAATATAATTCATTTTAAAATTCTTAATAAGTGTTTTTTCAAATTTCTTATATATTTTTCTTTGAACATGTGGCCTGTCTGCCTGCAAAAACATACAGACTTTTAGTTTTGACTTCTATAGAGTTATTAGTCTAAAGACAAACCTTAGGTATAAGAAAATTATGGAGTGTGTTTGTGTGAGTCTGAGTTTGAAAAGAGCAATATGGGAACAAAAATTACTTTAAGGTGACTACTGTAAAACTAAAAAATCTAAAAAAATGCTGAAAGCAAATATATACTTTCTGCTTTGTAATGAATTTATTACTGCAAAATCCATGACTTAACAGTTCTGAATCTTCCCATGCAAATTCTCTGTATTTACGTGCCTAGTATTCATGCTAGACTCCTACTTTTTTTCTTACATATTTTTTGTTTCTTTTATAGTTTATGAAGTATTCATTATGTGAGCTGGTCTGTGATTATAAGAATTTTTATTATTTATTTATTT